GTGTCGTTGCTTCCTGGAAAAAATATTTACATTAAACATGGCAACATGGAAATCTCTGGAACGGATTGGTGATGAAGCCCAAGGGGCTAGCTCTGTGACCCTGGACAAGTGGTTTACCTCTCATGACCTTGGTCCCTTATCTGCAAAGCACTGTGAGACTCAACGATCTGAGGAGGCTCTTACCATTCCTCCCAGTTGCTTCCTTCTTATAGTTCCTCCACCCTGTGCCTGGACTCGGGGAGCAAAACTGTCATTCACTTTAGTAGGCTTTGTGGTGTCTCTTGAAAAAGCAGCTACTGAAGGAGATTTTGCTTCCTTCACAAGGTCAGTGAACATTCTGGAATGTCTGGCCCTAAACTAAAATTTGCATTAGGTATGATTTCTGTTCAGAGTCCATGCCTTCTTCCTTTTGGAGTCTCCTGTCCACATCTCCTTTCTGTATCCATTGCCCAAGCGCCAGTGTCCCTCTGCTGCCCTGTCACTTCCTGGAGGCCGTGCTTTCTTCTGTGTATCAATGGGCAACCTTTGGATAATACACTATGATTATTATTAATAATATGTTATTGGTGTTTTCTGCCTTCCTGGAAAGGTGCTGAGCCTTTCTATACATTGTATCATTTAATCCTTATTTAATCCTGTGAGGTAAATACTATCCTCATTGTGTGTATGAAAAAAAATTTTCAAAGGAATTTCTCAAGGTCAGCTAGCTGGAACGTGGCAGAGCTAGGAGTCATACTCAGACCTTTCTGATGTCAAAGGCTTGGCTTTTACCCCCTGACCTAAGTAAAAGTAAAGAAAGCTTTATTAGAATGACAGCTAACTTTCAATTGTTCATCCCAGGTAACAGAATGGCTTCAGGCTGTCTTAATTAAGATGTTTGTGCCTAGTTAACTGTGTGATCCTTTGCAAGAGAAATTAAATGAGATCACCTTTCTGTACCTTCCCTGTTCCTGTGCTCTTATTTCTCTAGAGATTTGACCAACTTTGGCCATGCAGAACCTATACATGCTTATATATACCTATACATGCATCTGGTGTAGGTCAGTGACTCACAGGGAAAAATAAAAAGAGAAGGCTTTCTGCTTCTCCTCGGTCCTTAACTGAAAACAGAATAATACATTGTTCCTCTGGATTGAAGAACATTGTCCATTAACCTGTATGTTCACATAAAACACACTAATGAGTCACAGTCAAGAAATGTTCATAATGTTGGAGAAGGGGTGAGATTTTGGAGGCCCTGAAAACATACCCCATAGGAGCCACTATCCCTCCAATGCCCATGAGGCTCTACCCAGAGGGCTTGTGTATTTCAGCTCATCATAATGTTAGCTGGCGGTGTTTTCACCTTGGGCTTGTTAGATTTCTTAGTGACTTTTCCCCCTTGCTCACCTGTTGTGCCTGCAATGGGCCATGCAGGAAAATCAGAGCCCTCTTTGGCAACCAGCTCATGCCCTGTTTCATAACCCAGGGTCTTGTTGGAAAATGTGGAAGATCTTATCCGGCAGCAGACTTCCAATGACAGCATCAGCCCCCGGGCCTCCTCCTCCTACTATGAACAGTATCACTCACTAAATGAGGTAAGCTGTCACGTTTCTCTCGAAAATTCCTATTTTCGTTTAACGAGCTTTGCCGTTTCAGCCATGGGAAATTATTAGAGAATCAAAATTAGTGGAAGAGGGTGAAAAAAAAAATCACAATGAGGTTGATTATACAGAAGTAATTCATCCTTTTGTAGATATCTTCCCTGGGAAGATTGCGTCGTATTTTGGAAATTGCCTCTAAGCAGCCTGTTTGTCCATAGCTAAGAGTATCTCTGTTAGGAGTAACACTGCATTCTAAGGAACAACAGGAAATTAAAAATAGGGCCTTTTTATTGAAACTGCCACAGAAAAATTAACAGTCCAATTAATCATGTCTCCTTAGACCATTATCCTAATTGTGCTCTTACGGAATGGTCGCCGTATTATCTCGCTGAATTAAAGAAATTTATTCACTTATATTTAGTTCACAATAAAGTGTTTAAGTGCATTTTACTCCTCTCAGAAAGAACCTATTTAAGTAATAATAGTAATAATAATAATGTTGATAATGCCTGTGTTTTAATATTTAAGAAACTGGTTTCTTTTCCTATTAGTACTTATAGGTTCCGATTTTTCTAGAGGGAACCTAAGCAAGATATCAGTGTTCAATTGGCCTCAGTAAGCTTTCACATCATACTCTAAGAGCCATTTCCCCATATTTGTTAGTTGAACCCCTTGGAGCACTTTCTTTTCAATATAATATACTCCAAGTAGTACAAATCCCTTGATACCTTCTATTCTTTCATAGGAGTATGCTGCTATATTCCTTAATACAAGTATTTTTTATCGTCTTTGGCTAGGTGCCCAGAAACTGTTAAGAACCATATCCATATTTTTAAGACATCTAAGGCTTAAGTAATAAGAAAGTTTTCTATTGAATCTTCAAAAGCATCTGTTCTTTTCCAGTTAGTTAAACCAGAACTCAGTGTGCTTCTAGAATCGATGTACCTGGCTGGTTGACGGGGATCTTAAAATTGCAACCCTCTCTTTTCTCTCTCCTACCTTGCCTCTGTCTATTCCACCTAGACCACCTCCCTCCAGCCTCCTACATCAGCCCTGCATCAGCAAACTTGAGGTCCAGAGTGGAGAGGCTGGGTAGGCACAATTTGCAAATGGAGAACCTAACTATGTCAATGCTGTGTTGGGTTTGGTGGGAAGAGTGGAATGCCTTATACAGAGGTATTTAAAAACATTTTTCTGGGAATTCCCTGGCAGTCCAGTGGTTAGGACTCTGTGCTTTCACTGCCGAGGACCCACATTCAATCCCTGGTTGCAGAACTAAGATCCTACAAGCCGCATGGTGTAGCCTAAATAAATAAATAAAGGATATGAACATTTAAAAAAAATTTTTTTTCTGGTATATTTTAAATACTTTGTTCAAATAAATAAAGGATATGAACATTTAAAAAAAATTTTTTTTCTGGTATATTTTAAATACCTTGTTCAAAGGGCTTATTTTTTTCTTACCCTCACCCCAGGAAAGAGTTGGAAAGACACGGGAGGAAAAAAGTATTAGTTTGCCATACACTGTATTAGTCGGTCATAACAAAGTGACATATACTGAGTGGCTTAAACAACAGAGTTTTACTCTCTCACAGTTCTGGAGGCTGGAAGTCCAAGGTCAAGGTGTCAGCAGGGCTGGTTTCTTCTGAGGCCTCTCTCCTTGACCTGCAGATGGCTACCTCCTTGCTGTGTCCTCACACGGCCATTTCTCTGTGTGTGCACATCCCTGGCGGCTCTCTGTCCGTGCTAATCTCCACTTCTTATAAGAACACCAGTCAGGTTGGATTAGGGTCCATATCAACAGCCTCATTTCAACTTAATTACCTCTTTAAAGGCCCTATCTCCAAATGCAGTTACATTCTAAGGTACTGGAGGTTAAGGCTTCAACATATGAATTTGAGGGGGGACACAATTCATTTCATTACAGTGACGTTCCAGAAAACAGTTTGGACCTCTCCTCGCTCCCACGCCCAATCCTTTCTAAGAGGTTTGTAGGAACCATGGCAATCTTGCTCCCCGGAAATTCTGCCAAGTCCTTTCTTCCCCTTCAACACTGATCTCTCCTTCAGTCCTCACCACATGTTCACTTGAGGGGCAAGAGGGGTTTCTTTTGTCATTGACTCTCACTAGGAAATTTTCAGTAATCCCCTGCAGGGGAAAAAAGCAAATGACTGAAAAACATCACTTAAAACAAATGGCAAAAGAAGAGAGTTATTCAAAGGATGTGACCATCATTACCGCAGATTGTGAAATGAATAAAGTTTTCCATAAAGCTGCCTTTATATAACACAGCCTCCCTGTTGGAGGAAATCTACTGAACCATCAATGCTGTAACACAAAATAGTTTGATGTAGTAGTTCTCTCAGGTGTATGCATGCCTTAGAGGAGTAACACAGTAAACAGAGGCCCAATGAGGAAATCCTGATAGTTAAATTTCCGGCACCTCAGACACTGACAGCACTGGTACTTGGCAGCAGGTAGGCCTTCCAGGAGCATCTGAACTCTTGGCACAAGGCAACCACTCCCACATACCACTCACCCTAGTTATGTTCCTCTAAGAGGATCCAAGGGCAAACAGTGCTCGCATTCCCATCAGCTAGGATTGCTATTTGAAATTACCTCTAGAAAAGTTCCCAGAGATAAGGCCATTGGGTTGGTCATTCCCACTGCAGAAGGTGTAAAAGTTTAAAAATCGCCCCTGAGAAGTTAGTCTACATTAAACGTGGCCAGGCTCCATCATTCAATGCCTGCTTTCAGGTGGGCACTAGCCTAAAATCAGACCCAGACATATTTGTTTTTTCTTTCTATTATAACCTTGACAGAATCACAAACCACTAGACTTCCACCCGGGAGAGAGGTCCAGAATCAAACTCCTTCCCTGGGTAGAAGAGAAATTTTTCTTCTCCGGATTGTTTTCCCCTTTGCTTCTCATCCTTTCACAGATTTTGTTGTGAGTGCACAGGTCTTCAGTAAGAAATAACGGCACCTCGATTTATCCTGTTCAAAGACAGCGCCCAGGACTTCCTTAGGTTACTCTTGAAAAGTGGATATTTAAAAAAAAATTCCGTATAGAAATGAACTCTTGAATGGTAAAGAGGATTTCATGCACAGAGGCAGGGATTCAATGTGATGAGCCTTTAAAAATAACTTAAGGAGCGCTGCTTTGAAGATTATCTTTTCCTAATTTGTTGTAAGTTTCTTAGTACTTTTTCCCTAAACCTTGATATTTTTCAAAACTTGTTTTATTGATTTTTCTAAACAGCAGAAGAAACACCCTACCCCAAGGGTTTTAGTCCCTCATTCTCTCCACATACAAGTGTTTTCGAGGGATTGCCCTTCCTCGAAGAAGTGGTCTGTTTCCTTTGTCAGGAAAATGCTTTGAACTTGCTCTGTGACTGCTGGTTTCTGCTCTGATAGATCTATTCTTGGATAGAAGTTATGACTGAGTGGTATCCTGATATGGTTGAAAAAATCCACATTGGATCCTCATACGAGAAGTACCCACTTTATGTTTTAAAGGTATGTTGTGGGAAGAGTCGTTGACCTTTCAACTTTGGGGGATGTGTTAATTCTCCAGCAGTGCTTGTTATTACTTGGATTTTTTTTTTTTTTTGAGTTCTGGAAATATGTGTGTTATAAGTGTTCCTCAACTTTAATATCCAGCTATTTAGGGATTGGTTATTACCTTTAAATTTTTTTCCTTTACTAATGTAGTGTTGGTCTAACGGTATCAACGCTGTGACGTAGATAAGCCATTTAACCTTCCTGGGCTTTAATGCCTACCTTCATAAAATGAGGGGTGTGGTCTAGATTAAATTTCAAATCCTGTTTTATTAACACCACCACCTCTGACTAACTGACTTAGGCAAAAAAAAAAAGAGTAGGGGAATCTGTGATTGAACAAATATTGACATTGATACAGTTTTTAGAACCAAAGAAAGAGTTGAACAGCGAAACTTAGGAAAGGATAGGAACCAGGGCAATGCTGGGATTTGGGGCAGCAGGGCTGATATGATAGCTTTTGCTTCAGTCACCGCCTGTCTGGTTCTTTATTTTCAGTTGAATAAACTGGCCTTAGTAAAGTCAGTGAATGTGGCCACAGGAAGAATATTGGGAGCCGTGAAACTAAACTAATTCCTGCCGGTTAATTTCTAATTCTGCAGTTCTGTTTTTTTAACCACTCTTTCCCCCGAAGAAAAAAAATAAAAATAAATGAAAAAGAAGCTCTGGAAAACAATTTAATCATTGGAAAAACACATCCAATTTAGGAACATTTAATTTATACATAGTTTCCCAACATTATCTAAATTGTGATAGGTGGGCCTCTTCGATCATCCAAAGATAAGATTTTGACTCAGGATTTCTGGGTTTTCATCTGTTCTGACAAGAACTTGCGGTGCACACTCAAGGCAGACCTAGGAAAATTGGGTCCTCTTGGCAGCCGAGTTGGTCAACCAGACTGGATCCACTTAATCATGGCCTACCCACCCGTGACATTTACTTTCAGCCGTGTTGTGTGTACTCTTTGGAACTTGTGTTTCTGGGACCTAATGTACATGTTGGAGAACCATGCTTTCTGCATGCATTACTCCCAATCGTACTCAACCAAGGATGTGCACATCATGTGAGTCTCTGGGATTCCTCCATCTTCCCAGCATCAGGACCGGCACCAAGAGAATTTGCTCAGCACAGTAAAACAGAAGGTCGAGTAAGGCAACTAGTGCAGACAACTCAGGATTTCTTTTACACTGAGTGGATTAAATCAGCTGGGTAGTTCTCCTCTTTGTACAATTTGACCCTTTGTGGCCAAAGCCATTTGACTTTCTCACTTGCCTTCTTATTGGATATCCCGAGCTCCGGGTTAGTTAAGAAGAACCTCCCTGAGTGGCATAGATGGCAGTTTAAAAATCGAACTCTCTCTTTTTCTTGTTTTGGAATTCCAACCCCACTTATTTGTTTGAGTTTGCAACACTCTTCTCCCTTCCCTCCATACTCTAAAATGTGTGTCTAACTAATGTTTAAAAGCAAATGAATTATGATTCATTTTGTTTGGAGGCGTTTTTGAGAATTCTGAAGACATCAAAGCCTATCATGGAGGAAAGGTGGGGAGTTCTTATTCCAGAAAGCTGGCAGCTCCACTAGTCCCCCAGATGGTAAATCAGAATGAGGCCCCTGTCCCCAGACCTGTTGGTAATAAATTGGTGTGAAGCTAGATGTGTGCTTATTTTGGGGTGACATAGGGAAATAATCTACACATTAAGAGTGTGCACCCGGGGAAAATGGTGAGGGAATCCAAGTTTATCTTGGACCACTGGCTTTCCTCTCCCAAGCCTTTCTCTGTCCCACCCCTCCCACAGAAAGCTGTGTACCCAACACATAACCACTTAATTCTAACTAGAGTGTGAAGGTATGGCCTGAAACACTAGTTCTCTGCTGTCTACTTCTACACCCACCTCATGCAGCTCTGGTATCGCAAGGGGATTGTGAGGGAATAAAAAGAGCTTTACACAAGACTAAATCAACTTCAATAAAAATTTTTAAACATTAAAAAAAATAAAAGTTAAAGAAAAAAGAGTTTTAAATCGAGTCCTGGCTTCAGACCTCAGTCCCAACCCTCACCAGCTATGTGACCTTAGCTACTATCCTTTAATTACACCAGCTTTTAATTTCCCTTGAGAATTCTCAAAGGCATGCAGAGAATAATACGTATTTCATAGATTTGCTAAAAGGATTAAGTAGAAGCACTATATATATGGAAGTTATTGTCCTGAAGCCTCTTATTACTGTTATTTGATTTGCTCTGTGCAGGTTTCTAGGAAAGAACAAAGGGCCAAAAATGCCATGTGGATTGACTGTGGAATCCATGCCAGAGAGTGGATCTCCCCTGCTTTCTGCTTGTGGTTCATAGCCTCTGTAAGTATTCACATTCTCTTAAGCCAGAGCTTCCCAATATGTGGCCTAAGACCACTTGCATCAGAATCAACTGGCCTGTTTATTAGATGCATTTTCCCAGGTCACATCCTAGAATTCGTGACTTAAAATGTCTGGAGGTGAGACTTGGGTATCTACAATCTTCACAATCTTCTCAGGTGACTTTTATGCATATTAAGTTTGAGAACCAAGACTTTAAGCATTTAAATTACACTAAAGATTGTCTGTCTTATCCTTTCTACATTTCTGGCTGGTGCTAAACACTGGAACATAATTAAGAAATAGTATGCTATTGTGGTATGTTTCCTAAGTAAAGGAAAGAACTGAAGCAATTATCGGAATTGAGTCCCAGTGAATTTTTTTCTTTTGATTTGAATTATGCAGATATCTTTTGCCATATTCTGCCCTTAGAAATTGAACATAAAGCAACATTACAGAGCAGATCGTATTATCCCATATATCATAATAGGGAATTTTGTCCCCGAAGAAGGCCTCAGCATCAAAAAATCCATATATGAGACAAAGAGTACACCATAAAAGTAAAAATTATAATGACTGTAAACCTCTATAATAAATGAAAACCGTTCAGAAAATTTTTGCAAATCATATATATGATCAGGGACTCATATCCAAGATATATAAATAACTTTTACAAATAAACAGTAAGAAGACAAATAAAAGACAATTTTGAATGGGCAAAATATCTGAAAGGACAATTCTCCAAAGAAGATACACAAATAGCCGATAAGCATTATGAAAAGATGCTCAACATCATTAGTCATTAGGGAAATATGAATCAAAACCACAATGAGATACCACTTCACATCCACCAGGATGGCTAAAATTTTAAAAAGACAGATAATAGCAAATATTGGTAAGAGTGTGGAAAAATTGGAACTCTCATCCATTGCTGTTGGGATCACAAAATGGTGCGGACACTTTAGAAAATTGTTTGGCAGTTCCTCAAAAGTTTAAGCATAGAGTTACCGTTTGACCCTGCAGTTCCACTCCTAGGTGTATAGCCAGGAGGCTTGAACACGTATGTTTACAAATGTTCAAAGCAACATTATTCATAAGTCAAAAAGTGGAAACAATCCAAACGTCCATCAACTTATGAGTGGATAAATAAAATGTGGTATATCCTTACAATGGAATACCATTCAGCAATGAAAAGGAGTGAAGTACTGATTCAACATGGATGAATCTTGAAAACATTATGCTAAGTGATAGAAACCAGACACAAAAGGCCATATATTTTATTATTCCACTTACATGAAATGTCCAGAATGGGCAGATCCACAGAGACAGAAAGTTGATTAGTGGTTGCCAGGCTGGGGGAAGAGGAGAAAGGAGAAGGGGGGTAATTCCTAATGGCTAAGGGGTTTTTGGTTTTTGGTGTTGGTCGGCGGGGTGATAAAAATATTCTACGATCAGAGAGTGGTGATGGTTGCATGCCTCTGTGATATAAAATCCACTGAATTGTGCACTTAAAAATGGTGAATTTTCTGGGGCTTCCCTGGTG